GAGAGAGAGAGAGAGAGAGAGAGAGAGAGAGAGAGCTGCAGCATGCAGCATGTCAGTGGCGGGGAGCACAAGGGCAGGCGCTGACCTCCAAAAAACAAAAAGAAGTAATTTTATTGGAATACACAAGTTTTCTCTTTTCAAAATCCGAATAGAAAGGGTACTTGTTATATTCGAATACAATGTTGTACGTTTTCTATTCAAGTAGCTTTGCTATTCGCGAAGAGTCTACCTGCACCGCTTCAATTTTGAAAATGGCTTAAGGACCTCGGCCTCCTACGGGCAGCTACCGGTCCTACGCGGTCCTGGCCCTTGCAAGGCCCCAAAACCTCAAATGCCCACCCTCCCCACGACCACCGACGTTGAAATTTGATTGACGTTGAAATGTCTCAGGGGGGGAAAACGCAACCCTGAGCAGCACTACAGAAGACGTGACTAAGAAACACAAGGTTCTGCGAGTGCATACAAGGAGGACAGCGGAAGGTCGAAAACCGCCCACGGAAGACTACAACTATACGATAGCAGATTGGAATGGTGGCTACACTCCCCTTGGTGCAGGGGCTAAATGGGGGGAGACCTCACCTTTCACTCTGCAAAGACTCCCTACGTCCGCAGCCGGCACCGACCTCACTACTCTCTGTAATCAGCAAACACAAAGGGCCCAAAGCCCTGCCATCTCAAGTTGGGTACATCTTCCCTCACCACGCCTCGGGGGGACAGGCAACAGGAAGGACAGTGAACTCTACCAGCATATGTCCGTTGTCCAAACCCTTGTCAGTCATTGATGTCCTGTAATATCAGGGACGCTGGACCCGGTTTCCAGCAGGTGCAGCTGCCCAATAGATGGAGCCTTCAACCAGGGACTCACTTAGGGAGGCTGCTCTTATCACCTCCCTAAGTGTTATCCGCGACTCGAAGTTCAAAAAAAAAAAAAAAAAAAAAAAAAGAGTTGTGGTAGGTAGGTAGGTAGTGTGAGGTGAAATTGAGAGAAGAACATAGCCTTAGTGTGTGGTGTGTGAATTGCCGTGTCCGTGGAGTTGAGTGTGGTGTGTGGTGTGTGTTGAGTTGGACACTACAGTCTTGCAGGGGTGGGGTGGATATCACGCTGAAGAAAAGTTGAGAAATTTACAAAAAACATAAGTCGGTCACCGACTAGCCTGCGTGAGTGAATGGACTAAGTACCAGAGAGGGGGTGCATGCGTGCTGATTGGAGCGAAGTGTGTGTGAATTGCCGTGTCCGTGGAGTTGAGTGTGGTGTGTGGTGTGTGTTGAGTTGGACACTACAGTCTTGCAGGGGTGGGGTGGATATCACGATCGGTATGGTTCCACTTTTGAACACTGTGTCCTGGCTGTAGTGGTTAGGACTCTTAATTCTGTCCTGAATAGACTTGTGTGGTTCTTTTCATTGGCCTCCCTGAGGTGGGTTGATGAGTAGGTGGTTGAATATAGTAGTCATGGATCCGTACATCTAGGCCTCAGCCCTCCTCCATGCACGCACGCACGGATTCAGACTGGCGAGTTCGGCCTCAAGAGCCAAGTCTCTTAAACCACCACTCCCCCTGACAGCCGAAAACCCTCGGCCGTGTGAGTTAGGGACGGGTTCTACGGAGGGGCGGCGACCGTTCGTCACTGGCGGGTCCAATCCCGCCATTTGAAAGCCGCAACTGTGGCAATTTTTCATGCTTCGAAGAAATCTGTAAACATTCTGAAAATTTGAGGGTCCGTAGATTAGGTCGTGATCTTTCAAGGCAAAATATCAGAATAAATAAATAAAATAATTTTGACCGTGAAATGTATATTTTTCGGAAAGTGCTGCAAAGTTCAAAAAAAACTTAAGAAAACTTTAAAAAACTTAAAAAAACTTATTTGAGGTATATAACATTTGGAAGTTGGAACTTTGGAACTTTGGAACATTGTTGTGTGTCTATTTGTTGGCAGCCCCTCAGTATTTTGTGGTTGGAATTCTTTTGGATCAAAAGTAGCACAACCATGCTGGAGATACTGTCAAAGGCACTTCTTTGCACTGCTCTGGCTTTGTCACCAGAGACACACTTCATCTTTTATGCAGGTATGCTCTCATCCCTTTTTTCCCCCCCAAAAAGTCCAGGGTGTTGTAGAGGTCGGTTTCTGTACCCACGACAGGTACCTATCTACAGTTAGCAACTAATTTATGGGACGCAGACCATCCTATCTTGGAGGATCCCCCTCAGACAGCCCCCCCTACTACAGGTTGCCCAACGATTTCCTCCACCAGAGTCTGTCTACGAACACCCCTCCTACCTGGATCCCTTAAATCACCAGTACTTGGCCCAGCTATCGGTCGCGGCCCTTTCCCGTTGATGCGCCGCGGCGTTTGGGCTCCGGCCTACTGGACCGCATTGGCTGGAGGCCACAGCCAAAATGAAAACAGAAAACTTTAAGACCGACGGCGGTTCGGTAGGACTTGGCGCGCAGGGGGCTGGGAGGCTCGGCTTCGATAGCTGGGCCAAGTACTGGTGGTTTAAGACAATACCCTGCTGTAGGTTCCCCACCGATATCCTCCAGCAGAGCTTGTCCCAAGCCAACCCTCCCGCCAAACAGGACCCCATCCCACCCAAGGTCCTTGCCCCCCCCCCAAAGCAGAGCCTAAGGTAACCATTACACATGAGCAGTCTAACCACAAACCCCTACCTGCATCCTCATTAGACTGCTAACTGTATCAGGCAAACCCCTCATAGGCCAGGACCCCACATACAACACCATGGACAACCCTTGGATGGTGCGCAGGCAGTGTCTGTAATAGCTTACCATGCGTCAGCCCAAGGGGTGTGTGTCCAGCCGTGCGTCATTCTAACGCCCTGCCGGTGTCCATGCGTGAGGCTGCGGATTTGAACCCACAACCTCACACCACAATCCGCATTTCCAACCGGTGCTCTAACCACTGAGCTACATCCTTCTTGGAATTGAAGACATGAGAAACTGATGTTTTCATTTAAACCACCAGTACCTCGCCCAGCTATGCAGTCCGACCCTCCGGCGACCGGTATGCCCCGAGCCTGGCAGTACGGGTAGGAGGGTGGGCCGAGGCTGGGGGGACCAGAGGGTAAAAAAAAAAAAAAAAAAAAAGCAACAAAGCCGGAGACGTGAATACAGTTGGATGCATTCTCCAAAGTGCTTGTGTGAGCTCCCCAGTTTGGGCATATCAGCCCCGTGGCCTTTTTGGTCGGTAGCTGCAAGTACAAAAAGGAAAAAAGAAAAAGAAACCTTTGTTCACAGATTCCAGAATTCACAAGAAGACAAAAGAATAGAAACATGGATTTGGCCCTGAATTTAGTTCGATACATTTGTCCGTGTGCCAGTGTGAGTATGGGTCTCGCTCCACTACTGTCCACTGTACAATTTTTCGGACAGTTGGTGGACAGTTGTCAGAGCGAAAAATTGTACAGCGGACAGTGGAAAATGCGACATCGCTCCACTTACTGTCCGCTGTCCACCTCTCAAATTCGTGGCTTCACTACCAGACACAGTGATAGCACTACAAGACAGGACGTCCATAGGGTTTTGTCCGCCCAAACTCCAGGTGCACTCTCCAAATTCGGGTCCTCCCGGTGAGTCCCTTGAAGGACTTTCCACTGAACGAATTTTGCAGGCTGGGAGCTGTACATTCAGGGACAGTAGATTTTCGACGGGGTTTCTAAAAACTGTCCAAGCCATTTTGCACATGTACAGTGGACAGTAAGTGGAGCGAAGTACGACTGTCCGTTTTTGTACAGTGGACAGTAGTGGAGCGAGACCCTGCCTCGCTCCACTAGGCAGGGGAATCTAAGAAAAAGGGAAAGGAAAAAAAGTAGAAAAAAAGACATCCAGAATCTAACTCCGATACCCTGTGAGAAACATGCTACCAAGAACCTACGTGAGGAAGACATTGGAAAACTTGAAAACGTAGTTTGCTTTTTTTTTTTTGTGTGTGGATTTCTACACAGAATTGCTCACCGGTCGGCCGTTCAGCTGAATGACCTCCGCATGACGCGGTGCGCCACGTCGGTTTTTTTTGGCTGGACGAGGTACTGGTGGTTTAAACTACCAAATACTTGGCTCATACATCAGCCACGGCCCCCTCACCTCGACTTTGGAAAGCCGTGAGCTCGAGCTCGACGCTGACCATCGATGAGGTATACCAACAACCTACGGCCTCGACTTTCGAAGGCCGTGAACTCGACACTGACCATCGATGAGGTATACCAACAACCTACGGCCCCTAGACCCGGCATGAGGGACCCACAGCCAATGCATGGGCCAAGTACTAGTGGTTTAAGAAAGGAAAAAAAAAAGGTTTAACTTCACTTGAGGAAAAGTGCCGATTACAAACTTAAAATGTAAAATTGCTCTTGATTTTGTTCTTCTAGCAGACAAAACACTGAACAATGTGAAAAATCATAAATGTGGTGCCATTTCCATCCTGGACCACAAGGCCTCCAGATGTGAGGCCTTTGACCACGTCTGGAGGCCTTGTGGTCCAACACTTGCACCTTGTGGTCCAACACTTGCACCTTGTGGTCCAACACTTGCACCTTGTGATCCAACACTTGCACCTTGTGGTCCAGATTGCACAGAATAGGCTGCCATCTCTCTTTGCATATATGTGTATGAAGTATGTACGTATATCAAGTTATATGAATATATACTACATAATCACAGAGAACTCGGTGAACCATAGGCAGAAAGGGCGAGAAGGACAAAAAACGAGGGACTGTTTCTTCAATTTTATTGTCATTTTTCTCTCATTCTGCCCACCATTCACCGGTCATTGCGGCGGCAGTTCTCTGTGACTGTATAGTATATACTCCTATATCTTCTTACTACATGACATTATATGTATGTAATGTCATATATATTGTCACCTATGTAATGTCACAACTAAAAGAGCACACTTTGCAAAACATATGAGGAAAAGAGACGGTATGATGCACACTGAAACCTCTCTTTTTGCCTTTTATATGGAGTTTCTTTGTTTCTTTCTTACCTTTGCACATCTTTACAGTTTTATTTTATCAACTCTCCCTTTATTGTACCTCTCTGGTGCAAGGCTCACTATGTTGGTTTTGCAGAGCGCGAGCTGCCTGCACCTGTATGTGCAATAACTGCCCACTTGCACGCTGTGAAAAAGAGGCACAAAATAAGGAAGGGAAAAAAGAAATGTAAAATTCATAAATCGACATCTACATACTACTAAAGAAAACAGCGGGTCTCGCGTGACGCTGTCCCGAACCCGGCCTGCCTGTGTTGGGAAAGAGGCGGGGGACAAGGCGCGGGCCCTAGAGGAACTTCGCGCAATCGGAGATATTTGTTTTGGCTGCTGCGCGTCGGTACGGAGGGCGTTTCGGAGTCCAGTAAGCAGGGCCGAAACACGCCGGTCTCACGCAAAGCGCACGCGGGGGCGAAACGCGATGGTCGCGTGCGAAGCAACGACAGCGGACGTGGGACGACTGCGGACAGCGAACGTCAAACGGTCGTCCAACTGCAGACGTGAACGCTCGCAACGACCGCGGACGGGAAATGGAGAGACGCGAAGGGGGACACACACGCACGATGGAGGGAGGGAGAGAGACAAAGAGAGAAAGGGGATAGACGTCGGAGGGAAAGGCGCGAAGGGGGACACACGCACGACGGAGGGAGGGAGACAGACAAAGAGAGAAAGGGGATAGACGTCGGAGGGAAAGATAAAAAGAGAGCATGGTCGTCGCGTTAGAGTCATTGGCTGTATGAGAGAGAGAGAGAGAGAGAGAGAGAGAGAGAGAGAGAGAGAGAGAGAGAGAGAGAGAGAGAGAGAGACAATGCAAAAGGCGGAGAAACAAAGACGAAGACAAACGATTCACGATGGTGGACGAAGGTATGTAGTCATCATCGTCCCCTCGCCTCTCTGTGTGTCTTCCACATGAACAAAATAAATGTGTGTGTGTGTGTGCCTGTATCGACGACGCCCGACGTGCAGAAGGAAGCGTGCAAGTGTGAAGGTGTAGCGAGGCGGGGATTGGCATTTGTGAGTGCGTGTGTGTGTGTTGCCATGTTAGCTATACATAACTCCACAAAAAAGCATGAGGTATGCATCACTCCAGCAGCCGGAACACACACGTACGCTGGGATTTGTGTGTGTGTGTGTGTGTGTGTGTGTGTGTGTG